CTGACTGCCGCACGGCTGGCTGCCTCCCGGGCACCTTAAGAAACCTCCCCCTCCAACCACTTCGGAAACTGGAGACAAAACCTGCCATGACAACCACCCAGCTCTGTCCTCTGGTTGCCCTTTGTCCTTCCTGCCTTGGGTGCTGCAGCCCAGGAGAGGGGCAAGCTCAGCACTGCCCTGACACGCTGCTGTGGTCCCTCTGCAGCTGCCCTGGTCTGCCCTGTGAGCTGGGTGAGCGCCGTGGGGCTGTCCTGCCTCCGAGCCAGGGCTGCCTGGTGCATCACCACTCTGGCTCTGCCACTGCTGGGGATCCTGCTGGCAGCTCTGCTCATCTGGAGACAGCCTCAGAGCCAAGAGAGAGCATCCTTCATGGTGAGCACACAGCCTGGGGCTCAGGGATAGTCCCCAGGGAGAAGAACCTGGGGGACAGAGAGGAGGCAAGTGCCTCAGCCCCGTGGGGAAAGGCTGTGTTGCACTGGGGGGTTCTCCCTCAGCTTCAGGTCAGGCACACCTTTGCTGCATCCACATTGAACAAAGTGCTGGTGGAGGCATGGGGCAGCTCATGGGGCTTTCTGTAGGGACTCTGAGGGCTGCCTGGTTCTTCCCCCCATGTCCCACAGGCCAGAGGGGCACTTTTTGCAGCCCCAACTGAATCCAGGACCTGCTGCACAAATTAGAGCTGCTCTTCAGTAAAAAGAACCCCAGTTTTAACACTCTGGATTGTTTTTTTGGGTGGCTTGGTGCCTTCCCTTAAATCAGGACCTATCAACCACACCACCCTTCATGAGCATGTCTCCAGCACAGGCTGCAGTCCCAGCTCAGGTCTCCAAACCTGACAGCCAGGCTGGGCTTCCCTTTGTCCATCAGCAACTAGCCAAAGCAGCAGAGAGCCCAAGTGGGCTGTGAAACCCCTGCCTGTGGCCTCCAGGCAAAGGCATGACCTCTTCCTTTGGGCTTGGTCCCTGCAGGTTCCCTGCCTGCCCTTCCTGCCACTCCTCAGCATCACTCTCAACAGCACCCTGCTGGCCCAGCTCAGCATGGCTGCCTGGCTGCAGTACCTCCTCTGGATGGCCACCGGTAAGTCTGGCCACCCTCGAGGTCTGGGAGCTGGTGGCCACCTCTGTGAGTGAAGCAGAGGTGGTTTGAAAGCCCACAGCATTCCAGGTGACTGCAGAGTGGTGGCGGGAGGAGATGTCACTTTAATGTCAGTGGGAGCACCCCATACGCTGGTGTGTGGCCCGAAGGAGCAGGGACTTTGTGGCTGGGAGGGAAGGGGGAGGAGCCCCCAGCCCTGTTGTGCCTGTTCCCAGGTTTCCTCATTTACTTTGGCTACGGGATCTGGCACAGCGCCGAGAGCTGCCGGCCCGAAGGAGCTGCCCTCCAAGAGCTGCTGGGAAGCACAGGCAGGGGGGTGACCCCGGAGCCTGCAGGGTGCCCCTCTGCTCCGGGGCAAAAAAAGGAGGCAGGCTGTTCCCTGAGCACTCTCCAGCCTATGCCTGAGGGGCAGAGAGGCCCCATGGGCTGAAGGTCTCATCCTGCAGAGGGGCACAGCCCTGCTGGGAGCCCCGGGAGCTGTTTTTCCATCTGGTGAACAGCTCTGAGCAACCCGAATCCTCCTGGCGAGCCCCTGCCCAAGGAGCATTGTTTGGAGGATAAAGCAGACAAGTGCTTTTGCTGCTGTTAATAGGTTTTGGGCTTTGTGGTTTGTGTGTTTTTTTCCTTTGAAATCTCTCCCTGCACCCCCTTCACTCTCCCCATCCGCTTGCCCCCCTTGTCCCTCAGCTGCTCTGGGCAGAGCAGAGTAGGAGCTCCTCCAGTGTTGCCTTTTTACTCCTCTTTACTGTGGGCAAGTCTTTTGCTGGACTCAATCACTCCTCCTTGGTTCCCAGCACTCCCCTTTCCCAGAGCTGGGCACATTCCTCTGGGTCCCACCCCCGGTGTGCCTTCAGGGGAGGGGGTTGCCCGCCCCTGCCAGCCTCATAGCCCTTTGCCAGGCAGGGTTTGCTGGGGTGGTACCTGCCCATGACCCCTGCTTTGGTGCTACCTCCCTGGGGTCCCTTTTAAAGCTGGCAGCTGCCCATCACCTTTCCTCAGTTGCAGGGATGCACAGAGCACTGGTTGCCTTGGCAGGATGGGACTCTGGTCCCAGCACCCCTATTTCCCTCTCTGGGCATCCCGTGGAAGTGCTCGGGTGAGACCTGGGCCCTCCACCCTCGCTGCCTTCCTTGCTGCCTGGTTCAGCTGCTATCTCCTGATCAAGGTGGCCCAAAGGGCGGAAGCAGCTGCTGCAGTGGCCTGTCCAGCTCGGCAGGGCTGGGCTGTGGTGGTGAGCCCGGAGAGATGAATGAAACAGAGGAAAGGGCAGGGAAAGGAAAGGAGGGTCTGCAGGGGGGGGCCTCCTCCGGGGCTCCTTGTGGCTTTGTGTCTTCCCCTGCCCTCGGTGCAGGGCACGCAGCCTCGCTGTGAGATGGTCCCAAAACTACTGACGGGGGATTCCTGAGGCTGCTGTGTTGTACAGACTTGTAATTGTTACAGCCAGGGGCATGCTGGCTCGGCGCACGCCCATACACACACCCTGGGGAGGGGACAGGCCAGTGACAGACCCCCCCTGCTTCTGCATCCAGTGGAAAGTGCTTGTGTGTGTCCAGCCCTGACCCCTGGCCATGCTGGCAGCACCTTCCCCCATGGCTACCCTCGGGCTTGGCGCAGGGAGGGATGTGACCTGCTGGCAGGTGCTGCTGAAGCCTGCTCCCCCTCGAGAGGATGCCCTGCTCCCCAGATGTGCACCTCTGCCTGGCTTTGGGGGAGGCGATGGGGCTGGTGGTGCTGCTGATGTGCAGTGGGGTCGAGGTGGGCTTGGCATCTGTGTGGTGGTGAGTGGGGACACGCCTGGGCTGCAGGAGCAACCCCTGGGAGCCGTTGGCTGAAG